GTGTTTGTTTCCGTGCAGTTCCAGAACTGCTAAATCGACCCTTTCGGTGAAAAGGGTCGATTTTGCTAAAAAAAATTTAGCACGGTCGATTTTACTTATTAATTTTGAAAAATAGTCGATTTTAAAAATTTGTCCTTTACAATATCTCGATACATTCAAATCTTCAATCAAATTAAATCCGTCCCCTTTACTTTTAAACTAAAGAAACACACCATATCCTGGCATTGTGTTCATGTAATCAAACATATGTTGCATAGCTTTGCTCGTAAGGACAACTTATATACTTCATCAAGTTCAAGAAATTACACAATAGGAAATAGAAAAACACACTGAGCTAACTAGTTTCAGATTCTTTAGTAAGCTTAAGCGTTCCAGATAAGTAGCACACTGAGCTTTAGATAATTCACCACATTTCACGAGGTTAAATATCAGCGATTTCTATCAGAACAGTCATTTACCACAGAGTGACAACATATTCCTAAGTATGTTCTATTATATACTTAATCATATAACTAATGATAAATTTTAGTTAAAAAGAAATACAAGGGTTAATTGCACCAGAAGAGGATACTGCATAGCAGAAGATTTCCAATAACTTCTTTTATAATAGCTCAAACCTTTACGATCAATCCAAAACTAGAACTTATTGTGAAACAAACTAGACTTAAAAAACATGAAAAAAGACAGGATTGATGAAAATAATGAACTTCCAAGGGGGAGAAATGAGAAATTAGTTGCAAGCTGTGTTAGCTTGTAGAGAAATTGAAGGGTATGAGAAAAAAATACTGAATTGAATGAAACCCAAAATCAGTTTATTGTACTCATAACCCAATTGAGTTTTTTTCTCTCAATATCACACAACTGAATACTAATTTGCTGGAAAAAAAAATCAGGGTTGCGATAAATTAAACAAATAATCATCTACAGAAAATTACAAGGAGCGCTAAGAGAACTATTTTAATTTGGGAAAGAAATAGAAGGCAAATACGGAATACCTGAGCTTCCAGCTGAAAGAGAAGAACCAGTTTTTTTTTTTTTTTTTTTTTTTTTTTTTTCTTGAGTAGTTGTATGTCTATCGTTGTGTCTTTTGTGAGGTGAGGGGCAAAGGGGAATAAAGAGAGAGGCTCTTTGGGGATGTCGACAAAGTTCGCACTCAGTAAATAAACCCAGTCAGGGAGTGTGGGCTCCACTAGCGATTAGTGTATTGAGAGGGCCGGTTCATATTGTTTTTTTAATAGAGTGCACCTGCTTATTTGTTTCAATAAACACTCAATTATGATGTTCAACACAAATACTTTTTTGATAAAATGCTTTTAAAAACAATTTTTACTTTTTTTTTAGTTTATATTATATATATATATATATATATTATCTTCTAACAATTTTATCAAACATCTTACCCATTATTTAAGCAGTTTTTGACATTTAATTACCAAATTGTTATTTTTAAACATCTTATATAGTTATTTCTATAGCTGTTTTTATAAGCAACTTATTATAAGCTCCAGCAATACTAGACTAGTCCTGAGTATACTAATTTGTAACCTTGATGCTTTGAAATTGAAAAGGTAAAAATTTAAGATGATAATTAAACTGTTATTTTTATAAAAGTGATTGGCAAATATGGAATATTTAAAGGTGAAAAACAATAAGAAAAAATAAAATATTTGATTTTCTCTTTGACTGTCAAATAACTTTTGCATATAAAAATAAATTACATTTCAAATTTTTATTTGCTTGCAAGTTGTCGTACAAACTCTAAAGAGTAAAGAAAATCACAGCTGTGATTCTACTTGGGGGGGTTAGTCACCTAGAACTTAAAATTGGAATTGAGATAATCCGTGGGATAAATTTTTAAGGTATTCGTCATATAGAACTAAAACTAGAATAAAATTTTACCGTGTTAGTCAAGTAGAACTCTAACAAAACTAGAATTTGGATAATGGTACAAAATTATCTCACTTTTTTTTATTTTTTATACAAAAATAAGAGTTCCAGTCTCTCAAATTATTCCAAGTTTTAGCTTGGAACTAGGTGGTAAAAAAACTAGAACTCATATTTATTTTGTTATTTTTTATTTTATATATTTCTTTTTTTTTCTTTACTTCTTTACTTCTTTCCTATTATGGTTATCATCATCATTAGACCATCATTATAATAATTATTGTCAATATCTTATAGTCTAACCAAAAAGTTATTTAATAGTAAATAACATTCTTGTAAGTAATTATCAATCAATAATAGTAAGTTTAAATTACATAAATAGTATTTATATTTTTAAAATACATAAATATATATTTCATGATTATAAAAATATATCTCACGTTATTTTATCAAAATATCCCGCTTCATAAAATTGTTCCTATTTATCCTACTAAAATATCCCACTAGCGAAAAATTATTCCACTTTAACATTTATCCCATTTAGAATGAAAATGTCCCAATTGACTAACACCCCCTTAAAGATTACTGAGTAATAAGTATAATTGTACCCTTTTTTTGGCTGCAACAATAAGAAAATCAACAGCTATGATTCTACTTAAAAATTACTAAGCGGTAAGTAACGTTTTCATAAAAAAAGGCCACGCAAGCTTAAAAAAATTATTCTCTTGCACCAACATTTTTCATCTAAAGAACGTAATTAATGTGTATTTCATCAATATTAACAGAGAAATTAAATAGAAAAATACATTGGTGATTATATGTTGACGGAAACGTAGATAGCAATAGTTTTGTGAAACTCGGATAATTAAGGTTGACAGTGTGAAATAGAGCCTAAAGTAGAGGTGTGGTTTCCTGAAGAAAAAAAACTCTTAAATTTATTTATGATTGCAATTTTACAAACAAATACTATTTCCTTTTTTTTAATGGGTCTAAGATTCAAAACATGACTAAATTGGTACTTGTGGTCTTTCTCACAATTCAACCCTTTAGAGATATATTAAGCACATCCTAACAACTGATGTTGTTGGCTGCTTTACACTGGGCTCAACTATTGAGGCTTACTCTTGATCTGGTGGATGATCATATCAAAATTTCCCCCTCTTTTGGTTATGTCAAACATCGGTAAAAAATGTAGTCACCTTTTCCCATTTACAGAGAGCTCATTTTAATTTTTAGGCATTGCTTCATTACAATATTGCTTGCATTAACTTTACTCTCGCCTTTGCTAGTTTCTGATATTTTTTTGCCTTTTGCTATATATCGTGTAGTGGCGAAAATGTTGACAGCAACTAAAATTCTAAGATAACCTGAGGTTAAGAAGATTTAACCTCTTATTAATCATCCAAACACGAAAATTTATCAATGGATTTATAAACCCTCACATAAGATGTAATCACGAGTTAACCCGTCAACCTATGGCTATGGGTTAATAACTCCACTCGCGGAGGCAGACTAAATTTCGTCCACCTCCAAATTCAGGGACAAACATTGTAAATTTGAAGGGGGAAAAAATGGAAACAAACTAGAACGATACGATGTATAACCATGTACTTAGATTGAGATTTTTAGTTGAGATAGGAATATAAAACTATAAACCTCAACCCTCACTATAACTTCGATAGTTCGTTATAATGATTAGAGTGACTAATTTTAAGAAGGTCTCAGAGTTCAAATCTCATTGGCCATGAATTTAAAGCAGATTTTCTAAAAATTAAATTAGATTTTCTTAATGTTGACACCTAGGCGGAGGAAATTTTATCTAATTGATGGAGAGAAAACCATCTTTACTTTTTTTTGGTCAATAAAGAGATTTTATTCACTCACCAAACGGAGAGTTTTATGTACATCAAGAATCCCATTACAACAACGAGATATCAAAATTGAAACTAAGTTCTAAAAAATGAACTTTACATATAGAACTTTACAACGAGAGTGACCACTCCCTATTTATTGCTACTAGAGGCATATTGAGATTAGTAGACAGTATATCAATCTTAATTTCCTTTACTAAATGCTCCAGACTTCTGTATTTTTGCTGAAAAATTATTGTATTTCTCTCAATCCAGATCCTGTAGATAGTTGCCAAAAGAGGCATTCTTCTAATTCTTTGTTTGAATCTTTTGCTTCTCACCCTAGTGCAATACCAATCTAGTAGAAGCCTCCAATCACAAGACTTCCAAATAAATTGCAACCAACTCATGATAGAATTTGTTTTTATATGCAAAACCAGTGAAAAGAGTGTTTAGGATAACACATATTCTCCCAAGTGCAAAACCCTATATGCAAAACCCTATATTGCGGCATTTGTTTTTATATGCAAAACCCTAGTGCAATACCAGTCCTCTGCCTGAAAAAAAAACAGCATTTGTTTTTATTGATTACCCCTCTATTCATCAATCTATCTTGAGTGAGCAATCTGTTATGAACAGCTAACCAACCAATGGTGTTTAGGATAACACATATTCTCCCAAATAGTATCAAACCAAGGCACTCTTTGAGCAGGTGTGGAGAGGGCATGATATAAAGCTTAAACCTGAATTTTTGAATTTCTAGAACATGTTTGTAGAAGATGTAACAAGCTCTGAACTCCTCCACAGATTTGAATTGCTTTATCTCTTTGTTTCAACATTTGCTTCCAAATCCAAGTATCTCCTTTTTTTAACAGATACATGCCATATATCACTGTGTCTCAGATACATCTCGTGCACCCATTTGATCCAGAGAGTATCATTGTTGATGTGAATAAACCACATATTTTTTAAGAGAGCTGCGAGGCTCCAAGAAGAGGCTAAATAAACACCCAAACCTCCTTGCTTTTTCCCCATGCAAACCTTGTTAGACCCTAGAGGGGGGGAGGGGTGATTAGGGTCTTATGCTAATCTAATCCGATTTTATGCCAATTAAAACTAATAACAAGTTATCCTAGCAAGTATGAAATACAACAAGATATATGAGCTAGGAAAAGCAATATGAACAAAGAGATATATCCTAGCAATAAGATATACTATGAGATATATGCAAGGATATACAAATTAACACAAAGGTAAAATAAACATAAACAAAACAAGAGTGATAGTGTGCAAATAAACAATGCAAACACACAATATGATCACAGAGTTCAGACCTTCCGTCCTACGTCTCCGCTCCCCACTCCCGAGGAGAAATCCACTATCACAACCAGGTTTTCTACGCTTACCCGAACAACGTTTACACCTCACACTCGGTTTTCTAGCTAACCGAAAACTTTACAACTACAGACTTGCAATCACACTCTACACCCTCTAAGTGTTGGCCTAGTCCGTGTCCTCCTCCTCAAGTGCTCGGATGCGACCTCTCCCTAGGTTCGTCAACCGACACCACTCCTCTTGGATTCGACCTCGTCTCTTACCAACCACTCCTCTCGGTGTACAAGTGTATTACAAAGTGTATCCTCACAATGAAGCTCACAAATACAAATAATTTGTTCTCTACAATAGATGAGAACACAATGTAGACTCAATCGCTAAGTTACACTCCCCATAACCCAAATTATACTATGTATGAAATACAATAAGCTCAATGGTTGTGTGTGTAAATAATGAGATAAAATAAAACAAACTAAACTCAAATAAATCTAGCTTATGGAAATTAGAATCAAAACAATAAATAGCTAGAATGAGTTTAGAAAAACTTCAATTGATGATCTCCTCAAGCTCTTGTGAAATTATTTTCACAAAATCAAACTCTCAAATGCTTAAAAGCTTTTTAAACAAACTTAAACCAACCATAAACCCTTGTTAAAACTTTCTTAAACTTGTTTAAAACACTCTCATGATTATTGCTGGTAGAAGGGGGTTTGAGGGGTTTATATAGGAAGAGAAACCAACAGCAAAAACCCCAAACAAAAGACCAGAAACCCCAACGAATCAGAAATCTGATTCTGTACAAAATATGACCGTTGGGCGATCAGCGGTCGATCGTGGGAAAATCACGGTCGACCGTGAGCAACAAAACAACAGAGAAAAGTCTCTGGACTCCATCCGGTCGACCGTGGGAGCATCCGGTCGACCGTCACGGTCGATCGCAAGCCTTTGAAAAACTTTCTAAGTCTCTGGACTCAGGGGCGGTC